ATTTTGATTTGGGAATGTTTTTTATCGACTTACTGTTCATTTATTTTGTTAGTAAACATTTTAAAGAGCCCATATTATGGGTTTTTGAAAATTCCCCTCCATGTAGTGTGTAACACAGCTCTAAGTGAAGTGAAGTATCCAGCTAAGGCTTAAATCTGTAAGAATACAGTGTTTAAAACGGTTGATTCATCTATAAAAGAGTCGACTCATAGTGCTTCAAACGAGTCGCCTTGATACCGACTCATTAGGTGTTTCGCCATGACGTACGAACGAAACCAAGTTATTCACGTGCACGCGCAAACCCGGGAGATTTCAAACCTGAGGCCCCGCCCTCTGACGCAGAAACCCAGACACACACACACACCCACAAACACACGCACACCCACAAACACACGCACACAAACATGCCGGTCGATTGAAGTCACACTGCAGATGGACATTATATTGAGTCTCTACCCAAAGATGAAACATCAGCATTATAACCAAGCAGTTGGAAACTTCTGGAAGCTACATGCTACAAAGAATACTTCATCTGAGTTTGTTAAAGGAAGGATCAGTAAAGAGTAACTGATGGACGCCAGGATGGGTTTCTTCCATTTCTCAAGTGTAAGTACGTGCGGTTAAAGTTGTTGCCTCGTTTACTCTAGCTTGCAAATGTATTTAGTTGTGATTTGTTACTTGTAACCGCGTGTACTGTATCAGGTTAACTGGATATTTTATCTTATCGCGTGCAAAGTCACGTTAAAAACGCGACGCGTGCTGTTTGTTTATGGAGCTCCGTGCTAGAGTTCTGCTCCCGCGATTTATTCGGAAATTTATTCCCGCGCCGCAGAAATCTGGCGCGGGGACAGCAATATCACGGATATTGTTATGCGAATTAGAAAGAGAGAGTCTGCGTGGTGCTTGTGTGTGTGTTAGTGCGCACGCGCGCGTATGAGAGAGAGCGAGAGAGTGAGTGAGAGTGAGTGAGAGAGAGAGAGAGAGAGAGAGAGAGAGAGAGAGAGAGAGCGAACGAACGAACGAGCTTTGTGCGCTTTGTGCTGTGTGTGTGTGTTTATACAGACAGCTTGGCTGTCTGGACTGTATACTGGGTGATTTTTGGTTGTGTTCTCCGCTCTAGCGGGACCGGGCGCGGCGGGCAGAAAACGGAGCGGGTTCTCAGGCTAAAACCTGGCGGGTGCGGGTGGAAGCGGGAGCGTTGTCATTCGGAGGTGTGTGTGTGTTTTTGTGTGTGTGTGGTATGGCGAGTACACGACTGTCTCCTTCGTTCGGTTATCCGTGGCACTATCCACTCGCCATAGTGTGGCAGCTAAAATCCACGTCTACACTATCAAGCGTGTATGAACTGTGATTACTTTTTAAATTGCTGATTAGCTATTGGCCATTTCCCTCTCTGACTGAAGGCAGTCGACCAATCGCGACAGACTGTCATCGGTCCAATCAGCGCAGATTAGCTCCGCGCTAAGGAGGGGTTTGGGAACAAATGAATCACTGGACGATTCATACAGGAGTCGCTGGGATAATTAGCTAAAAATAAATGCAGATTATAAGACCATGAAAGTATTTTTTGACCTTGCATGCATATTAGACTGTTGTTGGAGACCCTTACAACCAGGATATGACCCTATTTCATGTATAATATGGGCTTTTTAAAGGTTTAAAATCAGTTTTTGCCTTAATATATTTTTTTCATCCAAGTACTCAGGCTTTATTGCATACTTCATCTTAATGGACAGTGAATATACTTAACTAATAAGACAGAACATTTAAAAGTATCAAACACATTACTTACTTACTTATTAACCTGTATAAACAGCATGTATACCTCTGGGCTCAGAAAGTTCTCCAAATATTTTTGGAGAGTAACTCAATATTGTAATAAACTATTTTCAAAAGTAACTCTCTCCAACACTGTATATATATATATATATATATATATATATATATATATATATATATATATATATATATATATATATATATATATATAGCTGAAAAGTTATATTCTTTGGTTTTTATTCATGTCATTTCATTTAAAACTGTAGCAGCCCAAGTGTGTGAGTTACAGTAAACCTTTTGCCTTCCTGAACACTGGCAGATCCCAAAGTGATGCATATGCTAAAGGCAGGGTCCCATCGACTGTACCATTGCCTTTGGCTGATTCTTTCAGTCCAAAGAAACTCTTTTTGTTGATAAACCTGTGTGGTCGATGACTGAGCTATGGGGCAAAGTCTTAAATTAAGTAATATCTATACATCTGAATGAGCACTGTCATGTTGATGAGATCAGAGCTGGGAAATGCCATTTATCTGCTGACTACGTTCATACTTGTTTCAGACTCGTTAAACTTACAGACTACTCTTATCACTGTAAGAGACTCCAGTAGCCTTTTGCAGACTTCTGGACTTCTTGAAGATGATATTTGTCTGCAGACTAACCAAACAGTCTCAAAAAAGAAATTCTGCTTGAAATGAGTCTCCTGGGGCCTCATGTACGAAGACTTGCGTGGAAATCTTACTAAACATTGCGTACGCACAAAGCTGTAAATGTGCGTACGCAGAAAAAAATTCAGATGTATGAAACACTGCATACGCCGAATCTCACGCATATTCTTTTGTACATCCGAATGAACGTGAAACTGAGCGAAACATGCACGAGCACAAAACCCCTCCCTGCCTCCTCCCCCGTATGAATATGCTAATGACTCTACTTTGGCAAAAACCCTAACGAAAAAGCAATGACAAAAGCAAGCAAAAAGAGAAACTTTGAACAGAATGTGAATTGGAGGTGCTCCTTTCGGAGTTAGACCGGAGAAAAGCGATGTTATTTGCAAGTTTGTTCTCCAGAATTAACAACAAAAGAAAAAGTAGAGTGGGAGAGTTTAGCTGATGTGGTTAACACAGTTGGGTCTGAACATCGCACTGAAATAGTGTGATTTATAGGTGTAAAATGTTGCAACACCCTTAGTCTCAGTGGCGCAGCTCGTAAAACACGTCAACTTGTTTTGACACATTCGAGCATGAACTCGGTTCGAATCCAGCGTCTGATGAACTCTTTCTTCTTTTTTCCCCCCGCTACATATCCATATATACATTTTGCCAACTATTTATCACGAGAAAGACAAGGAGGAATTATTAATAAGTTTGTGCATCATATTTTATTTGGACATTTATTGAATGGAAATGTTTCTGATTCACGCATGCAAATTCATCTTCAGATAGTGTCTTTATAGCAATATGTGTGCAGTAGATAGCTCAGATTACATTGGGAAAACAGGCGACCGCTGCAAATTGTATTTTAATGTTTAGCTGGTCAACTATATGGTATGGAAACCTTAAATACCTGCTAGATGAACCCGTCTCATACAGCTGCCATTGCAAGACTCAGACAATTTGTAGAGAGCAATTTAACACAAATGCCTCTAGAAGTCGCCAATGGAAATAAAACAGACACGCACAAAAAATGTGCGTATGCCAGCCAAGAAGCTGGCGTGGAGCTGCGCTCCCACATTCCCACGTTCAGTTCATCGTTAATAAATCCAAACATGAGCGATTCTGAGCGTGAAACCTGGTGTACGCAAAGTTTTTGTGCGTACGCAGCGTTGATACATGAGGCCCCAGGACTGGGTTTTCATTTTTTCCCCCAACAACTTGGTGCAGTGACCTTGGATAAAGACTTAAATCATTATTTTTTTGTACAACACTAGTATAATAACAGGATCAGTAGACAAATATAAAGTGAACACTGAGGAACTGAAATGAAGGCTACCCAGTGGGTTCAGAAGACCCACACATCTGGGTTTTTCCTGGGCACCTCAGAGAGGCAGATCTCTGGCCTGGCACAGCTCTTTAACTGCTCTCCCACCCTTATCCAACTGTCTTAATAGGCCAGCTTTGGATGTCTGTAAAACATACATTGTGCATTGAACAAGCATGCCGCTGCTTGATTGTTTATCTAACCATCTTTGTGGGTGCGCTTCCTGCATTTTAATTGGCCAGTCAATGTTTAATATGGCCGGTGAGTGGGATAAAAAAAACAATAATGAGCTCCTCATCAACCTGCAAATGTATTTGTTTGAGTAGTGAGCTGTGTTCACTTTGTCTTTGTAAGATATTTTCCAAGGTGCTCAGTACTTCTAGCTTCTCACATACTGAAAGTTGAAGCACCTGGCTCTCTCAAGGTGGAAGAATCTATAGATCCAGCTTCTGAAGCCCAAGAAGAAGAGCTGCAGGTGAAGAAAGAGAAGGAGCTGCATTTTGTCCCCAATTCCTCTGTGAGATCCTAATGCAAACCCCAGTGTAGATGTTCATATTTTGGTCGTTGGTTCTGATGCATTTGTTCCTTGATTGGGTCGATAATAAAGTAAAATATCCATACCTTTTGCAAATAAAGTTGAATATTCCAGTCCATTTATTCTCCATTTTGTCAAAATTAAAAGAGTAAACATCAAAATAAATATACACCCGTTCTCACAACCATGGCAGTCAAAAAGTTTGTTTGATCTTTTTCTACCCCCCAGGCTATTGCTAGGAGAGCATAAATACCGTATACACCCACTAGTGGGGTGAAAGAAAACATGAGCAACGCCCAATCAATGAGGAATGCATGCCTGGCTGCCAGTTTTAAAATGAGCCAGGCAAAAGCACTGGCCCTATGAGACAAGTGCAGCGCTCACAATAAGCTGGCTCAAGAGCTGAGCAAGCAAAAGTAACTTCCAACAGTCCACACAAAATGGACATGTGTCCCTATTCATAATATAGGGCAGACAGTGAGGTACAAACTTTCTAAAAGACGTCATTTCCCTTCTTAGACAAACAATGCTAAAGCAACGGACAATGTATGCAGATTGCTTGCTAAAGGACTGTGTTTGGACTGAGCTGTCTTAATGTCTTCCAGATTTTAAAGAGATTTCCAATAGTGCTTTAATGCAGCACACATTCCCTTAAAAAGGAACCACATATTACAATTAGGGTGATTTGGGTGCTATAAATTTTACTTACTTTTTCTAAGAATGCGTAAGTCTGCAGAGTCAATGATTTGCTTGTCTTCTCTATACCAGGAGATCTGCAGTGGAGGAGTTCCTCTGACCCTGCACTCCAGAACCACTAACTGACCCTTCAATGTGCTGACATCATGGAGACACTTTGAGGATAGAAACACATAATGGCATGGAATACAACATCACAACTCAATGTTGATACAATTTTGTTAAAATATTTTATTAAATCTTTCATTACCTTGACATATGTTGGAGAAACTCCCACATTTCCTGAACCCTGGTTATTGTTCTGAACCTGAACAGTGACAAAAACTCAAACTGTCAATGTGTATTTAAGCTATAAGTAGTTGTTTTAAAACATGCCAACATTTTAAAACAATTCACATTCAGAAACATAATCTTCACTATGACAATACTGAGTATTTTGCATAAATCAAATAGATAATTTGATATTATAAAATGTATATGGTGAATACAATGTGTTTTATAGTTTGAAACAAAAGTAAAATCTTTGAAGACTAAAAAAGAAAAATTGGAACATATTTTCTGTTTTTCTTTTATATCTTCTGAAGGCCCTTAAATAGCTTTGCATGACAACCAAAAGTGGAACTATTCCAAGTTTACTTAAGTAGAACTTAAGAATCTACAATATTTTTTGAAAAAAACATAACATTCAATGTCCACTTCAAATGTATTTTGGTAACCTTACAAATGTGCAAAATTACACTATAAGTGTGTTGGACATGCATTAATACATCATATAAATGCAATGCTGACAGAATAGGACTAATACGAAATCAGAAAAAGGTTGACAGTATGGAAAACGCTAATAAATACAAGGTAGTGATTTCTAAATTTACTTTGACTTGTATTTCATTGCAGACAATATAACAAAAGTTTACTTAATGTGTTCCTCATGACTTTTATTGTTGTTGTTTTTCAAATTAAACACGTATTACAATTTTGGTTCTTGCAACACATTTTAAACAAAGTTGGAACAGTAAAGGATTTATCACTTTGTAATGTTGCCCTTCCTTTTCACAACACTTAAAAGATACTTAGTAACTGAAGACATCAAGTGATGAAGTGTTTCATGTGTAATTTTGTCCCATTCTTGCTGCAAATAAGTCTTAAGGTGGGCAACAGTATGAGTTTTCGTTGCCGCATTTAGCGCATCAAAATGTACCACACATTCTCTGTTGAAGACAGGTTGGGACTGCAGGCAGGCAAGTCAAGTACCTGTATCTTCTTCCTCTGCAAGCAGGCCTTTTTAATGTGTGCTGAATGTGGTTTTGCATTGTCTTGTTGAAATATGCATGACCGTCCTTGGAAAAGAGGCAGCATATTGTGCTTCAGAATTTCTATGTACTTTTCAGCATTAATTGTACCATCACAGAAGTGCATGTTACCTTTGCCCAGGGCACTGACAAAGCCCCATACCATGACCCTGGCTTTTGGCCTTGTTGCTTGTAAAAATCTAGTGATCCTATATGATCCTTTTCTTTTTTGGTCGGAAGCACACAGAGTCCCAAATATAACCTGAAATGGTGATTCATCTGACCACAGTCCATGTTTCCACTGTGTGATGGTTCATCCCAGATTCCTTGAGCCCAGAAAAGTCAATGGCACTTCTGGACACTATAGGATTTTCTTTTGGCACATTACAGTTTTAAGTGGCATTTGCGGATTCAATTATGTATTGTGGTATTTGACAAAGGATTGCCAAAGTAGTCCTGACCCCATGTGGTGATATCGATTAAAGATGAATGACTATTCTTGATGCAGAGCCACCTGAGAGATCGGAGTTCATGGTTGTTCAGCTTAGGCTTGTACCCTTGTCCTTTTCGCACTGTAATTCTGCAAAATTTCTTAAATCTTTTAATATGTTATGCACTGTAGAAGATAAAATAACAAAATGCTTTTCTATCCTTCATTGAGGCACATTGTTTTAAAATCATTTTCCCACATATTTGTTGCCAAAACGGTGATCCTATGCTCCTAAAGGTAACATAATTACTTAATCAATTTACCCGATAACTAGACCTAAATTGCTGCCATCCCAACTATATTTGGAATGTGTTGCAGGGAAGGATGTACATTTACAAATCAATTTAAGTTGACCAGAAAAAACACACAAAAATTGTGTTCATATTGTCTGCAATGAAATCACTACTTTCTTTTTTATTTGCATTTTCTTTACTGTCTCACCTTTTCCTGATTTGAGGTTGTATATCCGAAACCTACTCTTGTGAACTAATCCTAGTCCGAGTCCTAGTCCTAGTCCTGAGCCCTTTCGGAACCAAACCAGTTTACACATAATCTATGGACACTAAATATCAATAATTATTGATAAAAAGTTAAAATTTGATCAGCTAATTTTTGTTAAAAAGGTAATTGTAGCTATAACTTTTGAACAGAATGACATATCTTCACTACACTTAGTACACAGGCCAATTTGAGGTCACAATAACAAACTCGCAAACTTTCGCCACGTGGTGGCATTAAAAAATAAAAAAATTCCACTAACCTAGCAACTGTCTCTCCGATCACTTGAAATTTGAAATGTCGTGTCTTTGTCCAAGAAGGCATTACATCATGCCCACCAATAGCCTTTTAAATTTGAGAACCCATAAAACAAGATTAATGATGGGTGATTGGAATAAAACTCAATGAGCATGTTCGACCCATGGTCTTAGAGGTCTGTAGAAATTTTAAACGAAACGGCCACTAGGGGGTGATTTGGCATGTTTTTAGTGTGTAATTGATTGTGTATTAAACAATGTTTCACACAGGCAAAATAATACATATTGTATAATAGGCCTGCTTATACTAAACACTTTGATAGCAATATCACTGCTGTCAGTTAAACTGTTCATAAAACATTCATCAATATGTGAAAAACCTACTTTTGCATAATAGCCCATTTTTTATTTATTTATTTAATTATTTTTGACCATTCATTATAAAACCAGTGTTGCATGAATCTCTGGACTGCCTAGATCAATACTTCTCAAAAATAGTTTAACTTTTAACTTTAGATAGCTATAAGAGCGTTATTTACAAAAAGATTTTTCTACATAGACCTACATGTCTGTAAACACGAGGAATTCTCAAAATTTCACAAAATCAGGTGTGCACATCTGAGATGTGATTGTAAACAAGCATGCAAAGTTTTGTGGAGATATGTCAATAGGGGGCACTATAAAAGTAGAAAAGATCTCACACACAGATTTTCATTGCTATATGACCAGAAATTAGCAAAATATGTGATTAATTTACACAGCTTTTCACAAATACATCTGATCTACATATCCTATGATAGGCCTGCTCATTATGGACCAAGCACCTAAGGCCCTATTGGAATTGCTCCATTTCTTCTTATTATTATTCCATTCCGGAATGAATCCGCTTGTTAAGTGTGACGTCACGCGAAGCGACTTCCGGGTCCAAGTGTAACCCCGCCGGTCCTACACCGCCCAACCCGCTCCAAGCTGGGATCGAACCGGCGACCTTCCGCATGGGAGTCGGTTGCTCTAACAAGGAGGCTAAAGACCATGGCCTCTAGCATCTATTGCTAGAGCACATTTAGAGGTCAGAGGAGTGAGGTGTACCTGCACAGCACTCACTAGCTGGCCTCCGTTACACAAGCACTCTATTCAACTGAATGGGGAGATGAAATGGTACTAATAAAAGTTTACAAAGCGATTTAATGCTTTCGAAAATCACGATCGCAGTATATATGTCCATGCCTAATATCCGATGCCCAGAAAGTCATTAATTTTTTATAAATTGCTAAATTTTTGGTATTTGTTATGCAGCAAGCCCAGAGATTGTTGTGTACACTATGATTTTATATAAAATTAACTTTAATGTGTGATAGGAATAAAATGTGATCATAAACGAATGATTTCTCCACGCAGATGAATGGCGGCTTGGACCCGGAGACAGTATACACACGTCACCACTAAACAAGCGGATTGTGATTTTGAGTGTCTAAACATACCCGAAAACTCACAAAACTTTGCACACCCCCTAGTAGTGGCGAAAATGTACATTTGTTATAGGTTTCGGAAAAGAGTTTCGCAAAATGACTGGACAGCGCCACCTATAATAATTCAACGAAGTGCCCCGCAAGCTACATTTCACTCACACATAAGAAAATTAGCACACAACATGCACACAAAACACACGAAAAAGTCTCTTGGAGCGAAATCTCAAACCCAACAGGAAGTCAGATATTTTAACTTCCTGCGGTGAAAAAGTGGCATGAATCTGTGATTTTCTCAGTTTTTTTATATATATATATCGGCTTAAATTAATATTTTTTTCGTTCTTCTCTTTCATCCTGAGGCCACTGGGCAGCGGTGAGCCCGGGTGCGAGGTCCCTATCACCGCTGCTTGCAGCTTTAATTTTGAATGCTTTGCTGTCACTTAAACTATTCATTAATTATTTTATAATAATATTCAAAAACTACAATTTGGAATTAGTCCCTGTTTTTTTTTTTTTTTTTGTCTTAATTTCAACAAAACTAGTGTTGTCTGGAGTGTCTAGATCAATGATTATGATCAAAGTTGAATTTTTCTTTTTAGATAAATATTACAAGCTCGTTTACACACACACACACAAACGGTGTGTTTTTATATGCATCTACAAATAGTCTCAAAAATGCATATTTATTTTTAACCACAAGATACATACTATATACATACTTTTAAACCAATTTACCCCCAAAATCAAAGACTTTTAATTGTCTCCTACCATTTTAGCCACTAGCTGGCAGCATAAAGCCACTTAATGTTCTATAGCATTTTTAGACCTTTGTTTTTTTTATTCCTAATAATTAAAGTCACCAAAATTGCAGTTAAGATCATTGATATCTTCACATGGTATAAACTTTTATTGCATTTAAAATCTATTTTAGTCCCAGGTTACCACTTCATTAATTTATTTACACATTCTATTTTTCCAGTTATTACATTCTATCATGGATTTGTTTTCGTCAGCCTTAAATTTTGGGTTGTCTTAAAGATAAACTGCCTAACTGACATAATGGTTGTCAAATGCTCGAACCCCGCCAATTGCTGCTTGCAGCTACATTTATAAAGTGTTCTCATCTCTTTCAAATTACAGTGGCCAACCCTATTAAGAATTTGGTTTCTACTTAACAGCTTGTCTATTTACACCTGCGTACAGTCTCCCAATAATTTGACAAGTATTTTTGTTCTTACCAATTGTGGACTGATGCAGAGAGGCTGTACTAAATGGGGGTGTTTTTGCTGAAGCACTGAAGAAGAGGAAGATGATGTTGAAGACAAGGAGGTTGTTTCACAGGAGCATGATGTTACAGTTACGGACATAGTTGATGTTTTTTTCTCAACCCTAAAAGAGTTAGAAAATACCTTAATACAACTCATCCCAAAGCTAGTCTAAAAATAGTTTTAAGACATTCACAAATTTATAAACATTTAAATACACACACACACACATTCGAAATTTATAATCAAATATATAACAAATTGTCTTGTGCAATGAGGAAATTATTAAATTTGCATTCCATGCGCAAAATTCATGTATGTTGTTCTGGTCACTCTGAAATTACCAAAAAGGTTTGTTCTGTAACAGAACTGTTCTGTTCCTTTATATGTTGCAGCTTTTTAGCTTTTTTATGACTACAATGAATAATGATAATAGCAATAATAACAATATCAAAACATTTAAAAATTCTTATAAAGATTTAAGCAATAGTCATTTAAAATGTAAATGTAAAATTACTTTTATAAAGCTAAAAAAATCTTTAGGCAAGTCCATTACAACTGCATAAAAAAGTAACCTGTACAGTTGTCTTAATCTTTTTCATGAGCTTATGTTGTAGTCCACAAAAGACAAAATAGTCAGTGTTGTAATTTTGTTTTTTGTTTGTTTGCTTGTTTTCATTTCCTGTCTGTGCCTTACTGTGCCATTTCTCCAGTATCTTCAAAAAGTGTCGATGAGCCCAGTAGAACACACCTGAAGATTCAAAAAAGAAAAATATGTTAAGGCAAGTATAGTTAAATACAACAATAAAGATGAGTTAAAATATATTATTCTAGAAGTGTTTTCATTATTTATTGAAAACATTGGTGAAATGATCAGTTCATTGTAATTGTATATATCTGTTCTTTACATAGTCTCACATAGTCTAAAAATAATCATTGCATAAAAATCAAAGCCTAATACAAACCTGTTGTAAGCATTTAAAGAAAAAACACTGTTAAAAGACGGACCTTTACAGTTGCAATAAAGCAGCAAATGAACACCAATCACAAATAAATAAATGGATTAAAATAAAAAATAAAATATTTTTTTCTGCTTTTTTTTTTGTCCTTCTCACTTCATTACAGCAGAGTGAACCGCCAGGTGCTATATAAAGAAATCTTATTATTATGTTTTTTGCTTTACTTGAGCAAGGTTTGCAATAACAAAACTTTAGCAGGTGGCGCAGTGGGTAGTGCTGTCGCCTTACAGCAAGAAGGTCGCTGATTCAGTTGGCATTTCTGTGTGGAGTTTGCATGTTAAAGTGCTATAGGTGAATTGGGTAAGCTAAAATTGTCTGTAGTGTACAGCCTGATCTCACAAGGAAACAAAAGTATTTTACATTTTGTCAGTTTAGTGGCTAATTCATATGAATTCGTACGAGTTCAGTTCTACGAAAATGTACGATTTTAAAAAGTAGGCGTGGCACCCAACCCCACCCCTCACCCCAACCGTCATTGGGTGATGAGCAAATCGTACTAAATTGTACGAATTAGACTGTACGAATTCATACGATTTAGCCATTTAATCAAAAAGTTACATTTTTTGTAAGATTGCGTTGGTAGTGTATGTGTGTAAATAAGTGTGCACGGGTGTTTTCCAGTGATGGATTGCAGCTGAAAGGGCATCCACAGTGTAAAAATATGCTGGGTAAGTTGGCAGTTCATTCCGCAGTGGCGACCCCTGATTAATAAAGGGAACAAGCCAAAAAGAAAATGATTGAATGAATGAACTATAGGAATGTCATGAGTCTAACCCATTTACTTTTATAGTTAAAGCAATAAAACATGAGCATGTCTGAAGCTAATTTGTTTGTGCATTCTGTTTTGCATTCAGAAACCAACCCACAGGTAGGATAAATCTTTCACCAAATTTTGGATTGTAAAGTGGCCTTCAAAATATTATTATTATAAAATAATATTCAGAACAATGCATTTAAACTGATATTTTTATATTTATCAGTTGGATTTTACAGTGTTCTTATATAAGAACAGTATGGTTTATTTCTAACAATATATTTAGGAATCAATAAACCGTCACCTTAGAAATATAAGGTTCTATCTGAAATTTTTGTCAAAATTGAGTTATTGACATATTCTTAATAAATGAAATCTTAAGTACATTATTATTATTGTAAGACTTTTTATTTAAAACACAAATGTCACACACATAATGTTTGCTATATGGAATGCAAAACTTTGAAGCTCATTATCTGAAAATCATTCAGAACGCAGATAGAACCTTATAATTCCAAGGTGATGAAACATTGAAGATTGCAGAGGAAATAATAAATCTTTCACCAAATTTTGGATTGTAAAGTGGCCTTAAAATGATTATTATTATTATTATTCATTCATTTTCTTGTCGGCTTAGTCGCTTTATTAATCTGGGGTCACCACAGCGGAATAAACGCCAACTTATCTAGCACGTTTTTAAGCAGCGGATGCCCTTCCAGCCGCAACATATCTCTGGGAAACATCCACAAACACTCATTCACACACACTCATACACTACGGACAATTTAGCCTAATCGCAAATTCACCTGTACCGCATGTCTTTGGACTGTGGGGAAAACCGGAGCACCCGGAGAAAACCCACACAAACGCAGAGGAAACATGCAAACTCCACACAGAAAGGCCAATTTAGCCGAGGATCGAACCAGTGACCTGTTGCTGTAAGGCAACAGCACTACCTACTATGCCACTGCTTCGCCTGTTATTATTAAAATTATTATTAAATACACAAAAAATAAAGAAGAATGCATTTAAAATGATATATTTATACTTATCAGTATGATTTAATACAATGTTCGTATATGAGAACAGTCCGGTTTATTTCTAACAAATCACTTAGGAATCAATAAACATTAAAGATTCCAGAGGAAATAATAAATCTTTCACAAAATTTTTTATTGTAAAGTAGCCTTGAAATTATTATTATTATTATTAAATTCACAAAATACAGAACAAGGCATTAAAACTGATAATTATACTTAAGAACTGTCTGGTTTATTTCTAACAAATCACTTAGGAATCAATAAACATTGAAGATTCCAGAGGAAATGGTAAAATTACTAACTTAGATTTTGTATATCCTATTAATCTAAATTATTTTTTTAATCACATTGGTCTATTCACAACCAACTGGGATAAACAAATTGTTCATGCTGCACTGATGTTTCAAGCAGACAAACAAACAAACAAATCTATTTATGAAGCATGTCAACATATTATGTATACAATTATAGCTGAGCAGCCTATAGGCTAAACAATAAATATATTTTGTCAAAGCAACTAAATTTAAAAACTAAAAAAAAACAGCTTTGCTTGGGGGCTTTGTGTTTCCAGTTTCTTAACTTTGAGTCTTACCGGTTTGCTCTGGTGATGTGGAGTCGTCTATAAATATCCTACTGGACCAATAACACATGCCCCAAAAAAAGACAAATCCAAAATCCAAAGAGAGCTCACAGCAAATAATTGAAAGGATGTTGTTAAATATTCCTCAAAACAGAAATGGAAAAGTGTGGACAGGCACTCAGTCTGGGCTATTAGTAAGAGATTCAGTGGCTTGACTGCATGTTGTCTGGGCAAAGTAAAGAGAGGAGGTACGTTCAAATCTCATCTCACATTACATTCTGTTCATCTGACACAGCTGACTCCACAGTAAATGGGTGTACTAAACGCTTGGGGAGTCAAAAATAGACCAGTCAGTCTCAGGGATGGAAATAGTCTATACTAGCAGCTCATCTATTAATCATTGTCCCACCCTCTTTTAGCAAAATTGGTCAATTTTGGGAAATTAGTGTTCATTTAGACCATAGATATTTACATTAGATTTTGTCGGCTATTGTTGTCTATTGGAAGGAATGCGTCAATTAGGAATAGAGTCGCCATTTTAGTACAGGGTAGCACTCCTTTGAAATAAACGTGGGACCAAGGTGCAGTATAGAGGACTGGCCATCTAGAGCCAGACATATCAGATACACATACATATATCTATGATCGGGAGTTTTCCCGGTGATCAGTATGCAATTTTTATTTTTTTTAATTATGAAAATTATAATTTTACTTCACTTTACTACATTGTTGAATAAGTGACGACATGGGCATTGCCGTGTTTTTGTCGCTTGTGTGCATGGAAATGTATTATCCTCCCTACCTGTTAAATTGACCTAATTTGTGTCCTGAAACACACCCCCTCTCACACTTTCACATCTCATTCTAACAAAAAGACAGATTGTTTTGTGAATGAATGCCTGTTATGAACAACTCGTTCACTTAACTGACAATATTACAACTTTCTAGCATCGCAGAATCTTGTTGTCATATTTGGTTTACATCGTTTGCTTATTTTAGTCAACAAAACTAGCATAAGGCTAGCATTAAGTGCAAGTTGTTGCTACTTTGCCTTATGGGCCAGTCAGGGCAGTAAGAGACTGTTTTATTATCAATACTTGTTTAACACAAAAGTTTGTAACATAAAAAGTAAAAAAACAAATTCTTACCTATGAAGTGTCCTGCTTTTATGCTTTGTTTGCTCATTACTACACTCATACCCAGCGCTTGGGTTGAATGACAATTTGTCCTGAGAGCACTGTACAAATGTGGCTGTGGTATTGACACATTCTGTGGGTCCGTATGCGATATCTAGTGTATATATCTATGCGTTCAGGCGAGTGACAGAGTGAATTATCAAAAAAGCAATCAGAGAGAATCAAAGATCAGGACTTCTGGCTATTTAAGCTATGAAGTAGGATGTGTTCGCTAGGAGGTCCTGAAGAATTTGTTATTTTTTTCTAAATTAATGCACATTTTTACTTAATATCAAGTACCTGCAAATAATTGCACCTAACAGAGTTCATTTTAAACTAATCCTGTACAACGAAAATGAAAACTAAAGGCAATAAAGGGCTAACGCGCAGCCATCGCATTAGCGGCCGGCAACAGCTAGCGCATCCTCAGATGAATGTAATATGGCCGCGGTGGGTCAACAGACTAAGCTCGATAGGGCTTCAGGCGACATTCAGACTCTTAAAACTGAAATAATTTCATCACTATGCTGGGATCTGGCAGAAATATTTCGCTCCAAACTACAGTCCGTGCTAGGCGATGACTTAACGACCACCAAAAGTGAACTTCAAGCCGTGAAGTCGGAATTCTCTAATTTGATGGCATTGATGCAAACTGAAATGTCGACATGAAGTTCGGTGAAGGATATGGAACATTCTCTTTCCACATGTTCGGATGATATCACAGCGCTACATGAAAAGGTTGACTCTCTTTTGGCTACTATGGTAAAATTAGAAGAAAAGTGAGAAGATTTGGAAGCCAGATCTTGTTGGAATAACGTAAGGATTATTGGTGTTCCGGAAGACCAACTTTCTACTGCTGTGGCGGTCTCCAAGCTGATAAAGGACGCACTCAACATGAGAGAGAATCAAAGATCTGTTAGTGCCAGATTTACGCCTACTTTACTTTGTGAATGTGATTTAATTACTGATATTTTATAACACATATATTTAAGTTATCCAATAATAAATTCAACATAGGCTCATTCTGAAAACTCAGCCCTATATACATTTCTGGAGATTGCGAATTAATTAGCCAGAGGAACGTATGGCTGCATTTCGTCTTTAAAAGGAATGCTACGGTGCATGTTGCTGTTCCTTTTCAGGCTTACCAGCTGACTGCTTACCTATGTATGGACAGCTTTCCCGCTATTAACAGTTTGTCCAGTAGCTCACCATGTATGACGGCAGACTTGGGAGTTGACCAAGACAACAGGTTCGAGTCCAGTGAATAATGATTCCAAAAAGTGGCAGACAAATCAGAACCCAAAAATAAAAATAAATAATTAAAAAACAGTGCTGTTCACATGTGCAAGACAAATTTGAGATATCAAAAAGTGTGCACAGCGGCCTCTGGTGGATTCGCGAAAACAAAAACTACAAAAAACAAAAAAACAAAAAAAAAGTACCTTCTGGGACATATTTGGTGCTCTCCAGAAATGTATATAGCAGTATGTTTTCTGAATGAGCCTGGGTTGAATAAAGTGATATAGTAACTAAGTGTGATGTATGTTACAATATTTATATTTATGAAGGCATTGTTAGCCATTACTCTATAAATAGCTAATTGATAATTATACAGTAATGGCTAAAAATGCCTTCATAAATGTAAATATTGTAACATACATTACACTTAGTTACAATCCAATGTTACACATAAATAAAGTGCATATACATACAACACTATACTGTATGTTATTATTGTCTTTTGTCTCAGTCTTAGATTTTAAAAAAAAATATTTGATAAGGAACTGAATCCTGTCATCCTTTAAAAATATTTATGTTTAAAGATCACGAAATGTTAATTCAGAGGAACCAGCTCCATAATTCTGCAACAGAAATATAGTTATAATGTATTTACTTCAAAGGATGTAGTAATAATATGCTCCATTTTTATTTACTTTGATTTAACTTCAAATGCAGAAGTAAAACTATGCTTCATTTTGTAGTTACTATGGTTTTACTTTAAATACCGTAATAAAGCCTTGGCTCATTTCATAGTTACTATGGTTTTTACGATTTTAATTTCCCCACATTTCTCAAATATTTGCAGACAGTGTGGACTATTAGATTGTCAGACATATTTACATGAGCGAATCTCTCCATGGCACGTGACAATTACGGATAATGGTAATAAATTCTGCTGTGTTTATGCTTTGGCTGTGTACGTCGGAAGTTTGGTTTCCTATTGCAGAAAAAGAAAACAAACTACTGCACCCTATGAAGTGGAAAGACACATCCTCTTACACAGGTACAGTATGCAGCTCTCATTTCATTCAGCTTTTTCTGTTTGTTGTGTTCACACCCAGATTTTGATCCAGTAAGAAGACAACTTATTTGTGTTTTATTGTTGCAAGTTGTTTGGCATCGGCTTGGTATAGCTCTGACCCTTAGAGTAGTTATATGGGATTCAAACAAAGGCAGCATTCCACTCCATTGGGGGAATCCCCAACACCAGCACCTGTATGTCCCACAATGCAATGTGATTATGATGTCACAACAGTGAGTTGCATTTGCAGTGTATATTAGTTTCCAAGTGCTCAAGGGTTCAGGGTATTCTATTTAAAACCATTTAGATATTCTTTCAATAGTGTACACTTGTGTAAAAAAAAATCAATGATGCAAATACCTTCAATCAGACAGATGCAAGTAGCGAGTGAAGGGCACAGCAATTTGGACCAGAATGCAGCCAGATTCTGCATCATCTTCTAAGTGTTATGGTGGGTGGTATCCAACTTTAGGGTGCAGGGTCCCACTTTATATTAAGTGTCCTTAACTACTATGTACTTACATCAAAAAATAAATACACTGTACTTACTGTGTTTATAATGTATTTGAGAACACTTGTAGTGCTTTTGAGGTAGCATAGAGGTTGGGTTAGGGACAGGTTTGGTGGCATGGGTAGGTTTAAGGGTGGGTTAAGGTGTAAGGGATGGTCAAAAGTGTATTTAGAAATGTAATTACAAAAGTTAATTACAGATGTAATTGCATACATGTATTTACTCAAGCATAAGTACACAGTAAATACATGTATTTACACAATAAGTACATTGTAACAAACTATTAATTCCTATGTAAGTACTTATTAGTTAAGGTCACAATCTAAAGTGGGACCGGGTGCAGTACTACCACCTACTATATTGGAGTGTAACCAGCAACATTCCGTTTCTGAATCCCATTTCCTTTAAGAATACAATTAAAGAACTATAATTGTCTCTGTTTGTATTATCATTCTCTGTAGTGACTTTCAGAACATTTTCCTTTTAATATAATTTTTTTTGACATATTACATGTTCTACCAATTCCTCCATCTGGTAATAGTCACACATACCTGTAAGATGTTTTCCAATGAGATGTTTGTGTGTCCCAGTCTTAGTATTGTGTGTCCCAGTCTGAGTACAGACCTTTTTCATAGAATACAAAATGACATATTATGCTTTTGGTATGCGTAAGAAGGATGCTATGAACTTTCGGTCACCAGCTTGATGCCTAAAGAGTATATATTTGGACAGCTTTAATACTACTTTTAATCTATTTTACTTGTTTTCAACATCTTTGAACTATTATTACTGTAGATCAGACTGTTTAATGTTTTTGAAAATGCAATGTTATGGGAATGGAAACAAGTGCTGCAAGCTTTTACCCTCATCGTAAGATGGCATTTTGTTTATATATATCAAATATATAACCAACCCAAACAAATACATTTCACAAAAAAGTTTGAAACACATATATTCAAAGAGTGACACAACGTAAAAATAAAGTAGCATTTTGAAAAACACAGACACACACACACACACACACACACACACACACACACACACACACACACACACACATAGGCTCACATTGTTAACACTACACAATACTAAACAAACTAAATGAAACATAAACCGCTCTCAAATAATAGAATCAACATGCAAATCAGCCACGGGTGCATTTCCAAAATAACAATGTAACTCGTGGCTTAACTCTCTACCTAACTATCTAACTAGTACGCTGCATCACTTAGGAAAAGAACGACATTGTGACAAGTGTTTCCCCAAAGCCGTAGTTTTCCTGTTGTAGATCCATCATTTGAACATTGTTAGTCATAACGTAAAACGCCCATAATGATTCTCTAAATGGGGTGAAGTAACAACTTTAGAGAAGAACCCCATAATTTCTTTGTGCAAATTGTTTTACATGCACATGCATTTAAAAAACAAATCCAATATTTTAGTAAACACATGCACTTGCTTTCCATATTAATTAAAATATATGTAAATTACACATATAGAGCCTATGTTTCCTTAACAAATATTATTAAGCACTACCCACATTCTATTGCCGAACATAAAATCACTTACAAAAGCTAACACATAGCCTAATCTAATCTCATATATTCATTTATTCATTCATTTTCTTGTCAGCTTAGTCCCTTTATTAATCCGGGGTCGCCACAGCGGAATGAACCGCCAACTTATCCAGCAAGTTTTTACACAGCGGATGCCCTTCCAGCCGCAACCCATCTCTGGGAAACATCCACACACACACACTCATACACTACGGACAATTTAGCCTACCCAATTCACCTGTACCGCATATCTTTGGACTGTGGGGGAAACCGGAGCATCCGGAGGAAACCCACGCGAACACAGGGAGAACATGCAAACTCCACACAGAAACGCCAACTGAGCCGAGGCTTGACCCAGCGACCTTCTTGCTGTGAGGCAACAGCACTACCTTCTGCGCCACTGCTTCGCCCTAATCTCATACATAAAACATAAAATAATGAGGCTAGTTTTTAAGAAATTAAATTTAATATTTAATAATTATTAGGAACTGAAACAAAAATCCTAATTTATAAATAATTGTAAAAGTAGACTTAAAAAAAATAAACAATATCCTACTTAAAAATAATAATAATATTAGATTAATGATGATGGTGATTAAATTTTTTCATTAATACACAGGAATTTATATTTTTAAACAAATAAATGCTTTTTTTCATCTGTGTATGAACATACATTGTATGTATAACACTGAATGTTATAATAAACATAACCATGAACATTACAATAGTTGTGCTTTTACTTTCAAGTTAGTACAGATGTACTGTCAATGTTATTATGATTTTTTACAAGGCCTTTGACTAGTGATGGAATGTCAGGTGTAATGCCAGTGATAACCAGTTTAAAATCATTGTGGACTTCCAGTCTGTTACAGGACTTTGTTTTTGTAGCCACAAGAGTACTGAAGGCTGTCTCAGAGAGGTAGTTGGTACTGAAAAGAAGAATGATTTTCGTAATTACATAGTTTGCAAGTTTAGGTGCGACAACATGTCGCCTTACTATCCAAAGTCTTTTGAATCCATTCTCCTGGAAGTACTTTTTTGATAGTGAATCAGCTTGAAGTTCAGCGAGCTCATCTTCACAGCCAAGGTATTCCACATCTTCAAGTCTGGATGTGAAGGGATCTATTACCCTCAGCTCCTTGGATAATTTCTCAACATCTGCGAAGCGGGACCTTAATTCTACCTGTAGTGATGTCATGTTATGGCAAAACTCTGTGCTCAAAGATGCACCCACGGTGTCGTCAGAGTGTTGAAGCAGCAGTGGGAAGTGTTGTAGTGCCCCTGTGACATTTTTCCAGCCCTGTACTCCAATTTGCGCATAAAAGCATTGATTGCTTCTTTGCATTGCAAGATGGTTGACTCCGAGCCCTGCAAGGTAAGCAATTTAATCCAGAACACTGCTGACAGCTGTTCTAACTGTGTGTAGTTTTGACTTAGCAGAGATTCCAAAATTTTTATCTCGCAGTTCTAGAAAGCGCACAAGCACTTTGCCGAGCGATAGCCAGTGCACCTCTGTGTGTCGCAGGAGAGTTTGGTACGCTTCATCCTCACACAGTTGCGCAAATAATCTCTGGTTGATAAGACGAGCTGTAATGAAGTTAACGACATTCACAACAGTTGCCAGTATGTCACTAAGGTCTCTGGACAATTTTTTACTGGTGAGTGCTTGGCGATGGATCTCACAGTGAAAATGACACATTGCGGGCTTTTTTCCATCAAACGGCTGTTAAATCCCTTATTTGTACCCATCATCGCAGCAGCCCCATCTGTGCAGCAAGCAACGAGATTTGCATGGTTGCATGGCGAAGAGATTGCACTGGCCTTCTGTAAATCACTACCTGCTCCTTCAAATGCTTTTCTGATGTCTGTTGATCTTTTCTTTTTTTCTTTCTTTGAATGCTTTCTTTTCTGGTGTTTTTCAATTTTTCGTGGTTTCATGCTGTCATTTGCCAGTTTTTTACCACAAATGACACATTCTGGCCAAAACTTGTCTTGGCCTTTAATAAAACCAAAATTTAACAAGGTTTTTCATACTGTCTAATCTTCGCCTCTAAAGAATCACTGCATTTACATTTTTCTGGCATTTTTGTTTTGATTTTGCCTTTACGACACGTTGCCAAGCATGTTGCACGAAAGAGAAAAATTTAAATAATTATTTATATAACTTTTTTTTAACTATTATGTTGGAATTTTAAGCATTTTTGTGTGTTTTTTTGTTTGTTTTTTGGTACTTAAAAATACATATATATTAGTGGAGCATTTTTATGCCTTTTTCTACCTCAACAGTTATCGTTGTCCCCCTTGTGAACTCTGGACCCCAGGTTGGGAACCACTGTCATAGACAGTACAGATACTTAATAAATAACCCACTATAAATTAAAAGCAAATACATATGTTATGTTTTTGTTTTCACAAGCTTTGGAGATGTAACATTCCGCTTTTAAATAACAGGTCATCTAAAGCTTTCGTCATGAGCCACGACTGTGTTCAAAATGACATTGATGTTTTCAAAGTGCACTAAAAAGGCAACGCAATTGTGAACACGAAGATTGCTAAAACTGAACTTTAAAAATAATTTAAAAGCAAATTACACCTAAGAGTGATCACTTTAATGCTTTTTAAAAAAAAAATCCAAGTGTAAATGTAAGAATGTTCTAAATGACTAGGGCATAGGGGGGATAACTGGGAATAGAACACAGCCAGGAACTATGTTTCTAACTACAGCTCCAAAGGTGTACTTGCAAGCATACAAGTTTGCGACACAGTTTGCCAATGTTTGTTGGAACGATGGATCTGGGAAACACCAAATCAACGAACTATGTTTGTAACGACAGAACTTGCGACCTTAGTTAGCTAACAATGGTTTTCGGAAATGCACTCCAGCATAGTATCAATAATGTAATGTTATTGGTAATTTTAGGAAGATGCATGGATACCTATTACGCTGCATGACAGTAATATGGTTTGCTCTTTATAAAGCAGTGTTATATTGAGTGTGATTTGTGTGTTTGCACTCAAAGAGCCACTGAGCACAGTATAACTGCTGGCAGGCTGGGAACACTGCTGTAAGATCAAATGTTGAAATACAGTGTCAGACACTGAATTAGGAGAACGTTTTTTTCTCACACTTGAACTGCATCTGACAGAAGCATATACTGCTTTAACAGACATATTTCAAAATCAAATCGCATCACAAACTCCGTAACCCACTCAAAACAGTATTGCCACGCGCTTTTGGATCGAGAACCACCAGTTAAGAAATGCTGCTTTAGCTCAGGGATTTTCAAACTTTTAGGACCCCCACAAGTTGGCATTTCATTCCGCTGTGGCGACCCGAGAATAATAAAGGGACTAAGTTGAAAAGAAAAAGAATGAATGAATGTGTCATATGTATAATTTGAATGATTTCACCAGCATTTACAAAAAAATACAAAAATGTACACAACATTCTTAAAGTATTATTTGTTAAAAACCCAGTGTTCTTTGATAAATTAAGCTGTGTTTGATAAAGTGAGAGCGGATCAGAAATGCCCCTCATTTCCTCTCCCTGCCAGGAACAATGTATAATGTTGGTGCTCATTGTGTCCACACAGATTCTTTCTTCTGCCTGGGTGGGTGGAACTCATGGCATTTGATCTGAATTCTGAAGAGTCTTGTTAGCTTTCATAAAGAGCTGCATTGTGTATAAATAAGTTATATAAGTACATATGCCAACCATGAGGCAGGGTTGTGGCTAGCAGGGGATAAATACATCGAATCTTCAAAAGGGTAGAGTCATTATTAGTGAATCCGTTAGCTGTTTCCAGAAAATGTTTCTTCATCATCACAACTGAAGGTAAACCACTATCTAAACCATTTCATATATTTTAATCCAATATAAAAATGTTAATCTGACTGCCTATTCAGGTTTATTGAATGCATATATAATTATAATAATATTATAATTCATGTGCACATTATAATTAACATGTGGTTAGAGCACACACTAAAATTTAATTATTTTATACATGTGAGAGTTTATATTCCTTGTGGAGTTTAAACAGTTACTGACGAGATTTTGTTTTGAATACAGTCCACAGCAAATATCCTGCATTGGGGTAAATGTGAAGATTACAGTGTTGTCTGACAGTGTAATGCTAACAGTGCTAAACCCTCACCCAAGTTCTTAACCATTTTAAAAGAGATGGAAAACTAGAATGAAATTTTGTTGTAGTCATCTATCATTTCCAAAGGATACAAATGGTTGTTCGTCATAACTCAACTTGGAAAGACAAAAATAATTTCACAAAAAAAAAAAAAAGACAAAAAAGTTTGAACCTAGAAAAAAACAATTTAAGTATTTTGGGTCAGAAAGGAATTCTAAGATAGCATTATATTGTTTTGCTTGTTAGGTTTACATTATTTTTTTTTTCTTCTGGAGAAAGTCTTATTTGTTTTATTTCGGCTAGAATAAACAGTTTTTAATTTTTTAAGGTCAATATTATTAGCCCCTTTAAGCTATAGTTTTTGATAGTCTACAGAACAAACCAACATTATACAATATCTTACCTAACAATAACTTGCCTAATTACCCTAACCTGTTTAGTTAACCTAATTAACCTAGTAAACTCCATTAAATGTCACTTTAAGCTATATAGAAGTATCTTGAAAAATAGCTAGTAAAATATTCTTTACTGTCATCATGGCAAAGATAAAATAAATCAGTTATTAGAAATGACTTATTAAAACTATTATGTTAAAACTATTAGAAATGTGTTAAAAAAATCTTCACTCCGTTGAACAGAAATTGGGGAAAAAATAAACAGGGGGGCTAATAATTCGTGGGGTTGATAAATCTGACTTCAACTGTATGTATACATGTCAGAGATGGGGGATTTGAGTCACATGACTTGACTAGAGTCAGGCTTGAGTCGCAAAATGTAGGACTTGAGACTTGCTTGACAGTTATCCAAAAAAGACTCGACTTGACTTGGACTTGACTGTCATGACTTGAGACTTGAACTTGAGCTAAAAGATTCGAAATAACTTGTTTTTGTTAAATAAATAACCGTCTGTTATATATTATGCATTACATACAAAACCAAAATTAAGTCATGATTGCGCAGTATGCTTATCGGCTCTCAGATCGCTCCAAAATATATAAAGCAGTGCAACCGATTCCTGACTCGAATTGATGATTTTTTAAAGTAAGTGGATAACTCTGGATATTTTTTGGGATATAATTTAGAGGGAGTGCCAAGCAAGTTAAAAGGTATGTAACTCTAAGTAATTTGTGTATTAGTGTTTACTAGAAATTCAACCCTTTTGAAAACAACCAGTTAGATTTTCTAAACTTTCAGTCGGTTAATAAAGAAGACTTTAAATGATATTAGAACAATTCATTTGCTATTCGGCTATCAGATAAAGAGCATTTTATTCCAAAGTATGCACAGATCTAGCACCCCCCTACCCCAAACATACACACACACCAACAAAAAAAAAACAGCACTTACAAACTAAGAATAATAAAAATAATAAAATAAAATAAATAATAAATTAAAATAAAATTTGTATTGTGTGACAAAAATACTCACGAGCAGTTAATTAAAATATGACAAAACCTTTCTTACCTATTTGAAGTTTAACCTCCTCCACTCAGTCACATCGAACTGTTTAAGCACTTCTTCAGTGTTGATTTTAATTTCAGGATGAATGTTCATAAGGGCAAGTCCAGTGAGCCTTTGGTCTGTCATCGTGTTGCTTAAAAAAGTCTTTAGGTGCCTCAGTGCTCTCAAAGGCGCTCTGCAGAGGCAGTAGACACTGGCATAGTTAGGATTATTTTTAGTATACAATTCAAATTTGGGAAAAATTTTGCCGTGTTCTTTAAAACCTTACAAATGTCACTGCTGCTCCATGTTGTATCATTAAATTGCCACCACAGCTCCAGTTCAACATCAGCGCTATCTAGATTGGGCATCAGTGTTCCGTACTCATTTTTGATCTCGTGCCACAATGTTTCAGATAATTCAGGCAAACTCTGTCTTTCACTTCAGATGCGAGGTGATCTATGAAGGGAAGAAATAGATTGCGTCCCCAGTAATCATCTGGGGCCTCATGTACGAAGACTTGCGTGGACATCTTACTAAAACATTGCGTACGCACAAAGCTGTAAATGAGCGTACGCAGAAAAAAATTCAGATGTATGAAACACTGCGTACGTCGAATCTCATGCATATTCTTTTGTACATCCGAATGAGCGTGAAACTGAGCGCAACATGCACGTGCAGAAAGCCCCTCCCTGCCTCCTCCCCCGTATGAATATGCAAATGACTTTACTTTGGCAAAACCCAACAAAAAAGCAATGACAAAAGCAAACAAAAAGAAACTTTGAACAGAATGTGAACTGGAGGTGCTCCTTTTGGAGGTAGACCGGAGAAAAGCGGTGTTATTTGCAAGTTTGTTCTCCGGAATTAACAACAACAGAAAAAAATTGAGTGGGAGAGTTTAGCTGATGAACTCTTTCTTCTTTTTTCCCCCGCTACATATCAGATTTTGCCTACTATTTATCACGAGAAAGACAAGTAGGAATCATTAATAAGTTTGTGCATCATATTTTATTTGCACATTTATTGAATGGAAATGTTTCTGATTCACGCATGCAAATTTATCTTCAGATAGTGTCTTTATAGCAATGTGCGTGCGGTAGATCGCTCAGATTACATTGGGAAAACAGGCGACTGCTGCAAATTGTACTTTAATGTTTAGCTGGTCAACTGTATGGTATGGAAACCTTATATACCTGCTAGATGAACCCGTCTCATACAGCTGCCATTGCAAGGCTCAGACACTTTGTAGAGAGGAATTTAACACAACTGCCTCAAGGAGTCGCCAATGGAAATAAAACAGACACGCACAAAAAATGTGCATACGCCAGCCAGAAAGCTGCCGTGAAGCTGCGCACATTCCCACGTTCAGTTCATTGTTAGTAAATCCAAACGTGAACGATTCTGAGCGTGAAACCTGGCGTACGCAAAGTTTTTGTGCGTACGCAGCGTTGATACATGAGGCCCCTGGTGATGCTGCTGGTGTGTTTGACCAAATTGTCTCAATTGTTACTATGCAAGGGACTGGATTGATGTGAGGATTGGCAGTCAGCTCACAATTTTGATCCCTTTTTTTATCCCTTTTTTTCAGAATGTTGCATCTTCCCTTTTATTTTGAAGCTGCGTCACTAATGCACTGGCATTACTCGCAGCACTCAGAAGACCACAAGTTGGGTTTAGCAAACTGTTGCTATAAGGCGTCAGATATTGTAGTAATCCCTGAATCACAATAATGCTGATAATGAAATCTAATAACTCCATTGTTTTGCCTAGAGACATCGCTGTTTTGCAGGTCCTGGGGTCGCCCTCAGTCTTCAGTTGATCCATTGTCACATAGATGTGCTGGTAGTTTTGAATGACAGTGCTAATGCACACATTGTGCTGAGACCAGCGCATGTCTGAAAACTTTTTTTAAACGCTGTTTTGTGCTGATTTCACCTAAAAAGGTTTGCAGCTGTTTTGGTGAAGCTGTTATGAAAGATGTCCTGTACAGCATTCAATGTATTTCTAACCAAAGGAATGTGTGTTGAGTGCACTGTTGCCAAATTAAGTACATGGTTTCTGCAATGCACATTAGTGGCAGCCAGATACATCTGTTTAATGCAGGCTTAAACACCTTGCCACTTACGTTCCCAGCCTAATCATACCCCTGTCCCACCGAATTGCAAGGTTGTAATTTTATTTCTTGTAGCTTCTCCAACAGTAAATTTTTTTAGCATCTCACCGGTAGTATCAACAATGGAAACGAAGCACAAAAAGTCCTCTCAAACGGAAAAGTTACCAGAGTCCCAATCCACATAGCGGACTAGTAACAAACTTTGTTCTGGATTGCTAATGTCAGCTATTTCATCCAACAGCAGAGAGAACCACTGGGCCTGTTTGCATTTCTTAATTATTGTGTTACTCACACAACTCAATATTTTCGTTTTGTATTTGATGTCCACAGTAATTTGCATTTGAAGGTGCAAGCTGCAAATACTTTTTTAAAGTTACATCACCATCTGCACGGAGGTTAAGAAAGGCATGGGAATTGCTGTGTTCATCTGTATGACCTCTGAGAGGTACATTTTGCTGTTTGCAAACCGCAATTAAATCATTTATTGCTTTTACACCATACTTGTTGCTTTCTGTTGGTTCTTGGTGGGAACGGTCTAATGCTGTATAATTTGGTGTGTGTAATTTGGTACACACACTTAAAAAATCTGCTGCACTTAACGCTCTGGTTACTAAGGTAAACCTCATTCCTCAAGGGGGGGGGGGGAACGGAAATGCTAAGTGGAAACTATGGGGGATTTTGTCAGAATACAATCATCTGAAAGAGTATATAAACGGGCCAATGAAATGCCAATGTGTTGGCAGGATCAGCATGGACAGCTAGCACTACTTACAATCAATTTAGAATATAAGCGCAACGCGTGCCAAGCTGAGGCATCCTTTTCTTATGCCCAACAGCTAAGGGGCAATCATTGTGGCGAAGGAAATTAGCATTTCCGTTCCCCCCCTCGAGGAACGAGGGTTGCCTTAGTAACCGGAGCGTTCCCCTTCAGGAGGGAAACTTCAATGCTATGTGTAAACTTCCACAATGGGAAATCTATGGAAAACGCCACGTTGATTGAACCTTACCTTACCCCTGATGAAAGGTTATGCCAAGCCAAGAGCGTGAGCGCACATGCATCACCAAAGACGCAGTCTTCCAACGTGTTTCCTGGTCCTCACTTATATTACTTTTAAAGAAGTTTTACAGATATGGATA